CCTTGAATCACACTTCTGATCAATTCCAGTCTGCCAGCAGAAGATAGAGACTTAGTGTTCCATTTCCTGATATTCTCATCCACTTTGGCAATAAGGGGGGCAAAGTCTCTTTCTGAAGCTCTTTGAGAAGTCAAAGGGAGTCCCAAGTATCTGACAGGAAGTTTCCCCTCAGGGAAGGAAACCAAGGACAAGAGATCAGACTTGTTGTCCTTGATTTCTCCAGCCAAAAAGATGTTGGATTTGAGGGGATTAACAAAAAGGCCAGATACTTGAGAAAAATTCTGGATAGTGTTGGCCAGGACAGTAACAGAATCCTTGTTCCCCCTGCAAAACATCATCACATCATCAGCAAAAGTAATATGGGTGATACCAAGTTTAGAGCATCTGTGGTGGTGAGTGAATCTGCTCCCATACAACATCCTCCTGATCAACCTTGAGAAGTACTCCATACAGAATAAGAACAAAGTGGGTGCCATTGGGTCACCCTGCCTGATGCCCCTTTTACATTTGATGAAGCCATGCACACCTCCATTAATAGAAAGGGAGAAGGAAGCAGTTGTAACACACTCCATCACCCAACCCACAAATTTGGGAGGAAAGCCAAGACCTTGCATTGTATTCTCCAGGAAAGCCCATGAAATAGTGTCATAGGCTTTAGAAATATCAACTTTGAGCATGCAACAAGGAGGGGATCTCTTCCTAGCATAACCTCTAACCAAATGTTGAGCCAAAAGAATATTATCCACCATGCTTCTGCCCTTGATAAAAGCTGCCTGTGCAGGATTAATAAGATCAGGGAGGATGGAAGCCATCCTGTTAGACAGGATCTTTGTAATAACTTTATAGACCACATTTGAACATGCAATGGGTCTATAATCTTTGGCAGTGGGGTTCTCCTTGACCTTGGGAATTAGAACCACAGTTGCATGATTAATTTGCTTGAGAAGTCTTCCACTAGTAAAGAACTCAGACACAGCCTCAAAGAGACTATTTCCAACTATATCCCATTTCTGTTTAAAGAAAGCAGCAGTGTAGCCATCAGGTCCAGGTGATTTCTCATTCCCAATGCTGAACAGTGCTTCTTTAACCTCAGATATGTCAACAAGCTTGATCAAATTTTGGATTTCATGATGTGGCACGAGGGGTCCCTCCCTAAAAACATTCCAGTCAATAGGGGATGTGGGCACAGTGTTACCAAAAATGTTGCTATAGTGGCCAATAAATTCCTCAACAATGGCTTCAGAAGATGTTGTGGTGGAACCTTGGCTAGTGATGATGAAGGGGATGGATCTCAGCACCTTCTGTTTCTTCATCATAGCATGGAAGAACTTGGTGCATTTGTCACCCTCATTGATAAAAGTGCATTTCACCTTCTGTAAGAAAAAGGATCTCTCAGCATCACTGTAAAAGGTTGCCTCTTTCCTAAGGCTGGCAGCTTGTTCAATGAGGGCTGAGTTTTGTGGATCAGTCATAAGCCTGGTCATCATTTCTGTGTAGCTGCTCCTTGCATTCTCAGCTCTGGTAGAAATGTGACCAAACTTCTTCTTATTGAGCTGTTTCAGAGGGTGTTTCAACAATTTGAGTTTTCTGCATAATCTGAATTGTCTAGTACCAGTGATTCTGGTATCCCAAGTCTGTCTAACCACACTGTCAAAAAGTTCATGTTGCATCCACATATTAAAAAACTTGAAGGGTTTTGGTCCCAGGTTAGTGTTGTGAATGAGGTTCAAGACCACAGGGCAGTGATCAGATTGGAACTCCATGGGTTTAAAGTCAGCCCAGCAGTCCCAATGAAGGAGGTCCCATTCACAGTTAACCAAGACCCTGTCAAGCTTAGCCCACTTGCTCCCTCTGTTCCAAGTGAATTGCATACCAGTAGCCTTAGCATCAAGAAGATCATTATTGAGTCTAAACTGTAAGAGGTCAGTCATATCATAAGCATAGGTATGACAGTTAACCCTCTCACTAGAGTCCAAAACAGCATTGAAATCTCCCATAATAGCCCAGGGAGTGTTGATTCTGCCAGCAATATCAGTGAGTCTGTCCCAGAGGTTCCTTCTCACACTTACATTGTATAAGGCAAAAACAAATGTGATGTGAAAAGTTTTCTGGGTAATAGTACAAAAGATCCCACAATGGATATACTGATCAGCAACTTCCAAAACTTGACAGTTAACAAAATTGGGGTTCCATAATATAGCCATCCTTCCATTATCAATCATATCAAAATTATCAGTTGAAGCCCAAGAAGGAAGTTTATTGTTGACAAAAAGTTTAAGTTTTGCTTGGGTCATCTTGGTTTCCAAAATGCAGCATAAGTTCACCCCAAGATCCATAATGTATTTACACAAAAAAGATTGCTTAGAGGCCCTGTTGAGGCCTCTAAAGTTCCAGCAGAGTACCTTCATTTAAGAGTTAGGGCCTGGACCCCTTCCCCTTCCTCTGTTTGCACCATTCCTGTATCCATGTGTCTGTCCACGCCCCATGCTTCTAGTTTCTCTCCTATATTGAGGCTTCAAAGGATGTGTAGTTAGGGTTCCTTTGCCTCTTCCCACCAATGTGAATCCATCATTGTCATCCTTCCTAGTGAAAGAAGGTGAGGGTTCATCAGGGTTAACAGGGGCTTTCTTAGCAACAATATGCTCCAATCCCTCCTTTTGTTTGCCATGATTTTTGTCCTGCCCCTGTTTGCCATCCTGTTTGTCCCTAGTATCTGTTCTGAGAGTGGTTTTCAGGACTTCCACTCTGGCCTTCTCCCTGTCCCTCTGTTCCTCATGTTCCTTCTTCCTTTCCATTTCAAAAAGCTGAGCACAGTCAAAAGGAGTATGCCCAAATTTCTCACAGTGATAACAGTAGAGGGGGAGATCCTCATACTCCACAACTTGTGAATAGCTGCCTCCAACAAAATTGACCTTCACACAAGAAGGGGGAGGTTTGGAGAGGTCCATATGAATGAGGACTCTACAGAAATTGGGTTTCTTGTAGGCCAGATTGTCCTCTAGGTCCTTCTCCACAGTAAGTTTGGAGGCAACCTTGTTAGTCAGACCATCTGTGAAGAGTGGTCTTCCAAGTTTTGAGGCAATCTTTGACAAGCTGTTAGGACCCCAAAACTGCATAGGAACATCCATAAGTTTCACCCAAACTGGCATGGTAGAGAAAGATTTTGCATTCCACATGAATCCATCCTGTGGGATGTTGAGTAAAAGCTTCTTGTTGTTGATGCTGTGGTCATCCCTATGCAAGACTGAGTCTCTATCTTCATTGTTCAGGAACTTGAAGACCACCCAGCCCTTATGATGAGGGAGGAATTGGCAAGGTACTTTCCAGGACTCCACCAATGTTTGAATGGGTGCCAGCCCAGGGAACCTGTCAGAAAAACAGCCAACCAAGCAAGGTCCCCATAATTCCTCCATTGGGGTCACATCCTCAGGTTGGATAAACACCTCCTCATCCCCAGTCATTTCCACCTGGTGGAGTTTCATACCTTTATCCTCAGACCTGTTCTTTTCAAAGAGTGAAGCAAAGCTTTTCTTCTCAGCAGGTGTATCCACTTTGTTACCAGGTGCATTGCCATCATTGTCTCCAGTTTCATTCTCACAGCTTTCCTTCCCAATAGATTCAACAGTTTCAGGAGCTTCAGGAATAGCTACTGGTTTAACTACTGGAGTATCTCCAATGCTGGTGCCAGGCTTATCCTTCTGCAGTTCTTGCTCAAACCTTTCCTCATCCAGAGAAGGAGTCTGGGATTCAGAGTCATCGTCTTCTTCCACAGTCACATCACCAGTGTTAGAACACGGGGTGAAATCCTCCTCAGTCATAACCGGAATCTTATCCACATTCTCAACACAATCCACAGTCTCACCTCCAGCCCCAGACTCACCCTCCATATCACGAAGAAAGTTACGCAACTCTTTCTTGTTCGGGGGGGTGGGGGTGGAGGTCTACGCTCCTTCTTCTTGCCCTTCGCCATCTAGGAACAGCTCAAAACAAAGGAAGGGCAAGCCACACTTACCAGAAACCCATCAGGAAGCTTGTTGTAGAAGATGATGAACAGTGTCGCAAACCCTAGGTAGTTCGTTGACTCCCAAATCTTGAACAACGCCGCTGGAAATCAGGATGGATAGGCTCGCCTTAGAGTGTAGAAGACCAATCTGCAACCATAGGTGGAGAAATCCAAGAGAGCACGCCGGAAAGTGGACGGAACTGGTGCGCGGTTACTGTTCATCGCGATCGCCAGAGAGAGAAACTCTGTCCGCCATTATTATTATTGAGAGCTCTTTCAAGGGTAACATGTAAATTATTATTACCCAAATCAAACAAATACATCAAAGTTATATGCTTAACCATCAACATGGTTACACGCATAGGTTACAAATTACACTAACAAATACATCACACCGTAAAAAAAAGACGTACAACACATTACAACGAATCTACAATACAAACAAATGCTAAAGAACTATCCCTTCGAAGAAGCTATCAGCTTTTCTACAACACAGGGAGTCCAACATACACTAGGCCAAATACACACAAGTCTTCAATAAAGTTTACATCCACAAGGAGTCACCAGCAAGGAGTCACCAGCAGCCATCAACACTTTTCTGGTTTGCACAAGGAGATCAACAACCCCATCAGGTTAGGTGTTATAGCCAAAGTTCTCAAAAATCCCTTCGAAGGATATCATCACTTCTACAACACAGGGAAGCCAAGCAGGTACAGCCACAAACTTGTTAAACATGAAGCACACCAAATTGAGAGCTCTTTCAAGATTCTATGGGTGGTGGTGCATGGCCGTTCTTAGTTGGTGGAGCGATTTGTCTGGTTAATTCCGTTAACGAACGAGACCTTAGCCTGCTAACTAGCTATGCGAAGGTATCCCTTCGTGGCCAGCTTCTTAGAGGGACTACGACCTCTTAGGCCGCGGAAGTTTGAGGCAATAACAGGTCTGTTATGCCCTTAGATGTTCTGGGCCGCACGCGCGCTACACTGATGTATTCAATGAGCATATAGCCTTGGCCAATAGGTTCGGGTAATCTTTGAAATTTCATCGTGATGGGGATATATCATTGCAATTGTTGGTCTTCAACGAGGAATTCCTAGTAAGCGTGAGTCATCAGCTCGCGTTGACTACGTCCCTGCCCTTTGTACACACCGCCCGTCGCTCCTACCGATTGAAGTCCATTGAACCTTATCATTTAGAGGAAGGAGAAGTCGTAACAAGGTTTCCGTAGGTGAACCTGCGGAAGGATCATTGTCGAACCCTCGCGGTAGAATGACTTGCTAACCTGTACCAATTATTGATTCGAGTGTCGGGGTGCTGTCTTTCTGATTTGCCCAGACGAACAAAAACACCGGTGTGGTTGGCCGGAAATGTTGTCCTTGATTTTGTTGATGTCTTGGATGTGCCAGGTGTGCATAGTTGCCAGCCTTGCTCGACTTCATTGTGGCGTTGGGATCCTATGAAGATGCTGGTTTTGGCTCTTTGATTGCGACCCCAAGTCAGGCGAGACTACCCGCTGAGTTTAAGCATATCAATAAGCGGAGGAGAAGAAACTTACAAGGATTTCCTTAGTAACGGCGAGTGAAATGGGAACAGCCCAGCCTTAGAATCGAATGGTTTTGCCGTTTGAATTGTAGTCTGGAGAAGCGTCCTTAGCGGCGGACTGGGCCCAAGTCCCCTGGAAAGGGGCGCCGGAGAGGGTGAGAGCCCCGTCGGGCCTAGACCCTGTCGCACCACGAGGTGCTGTCTTAGAGTCGGGTTGTTTGGGAATGCAGCCCAAATTTGGTGGTGAATTCCGTCCAAGGCTAAATACAGG